GTTGGTGCTACACCAGTAATGCCCAGCGGGGCCCCCACAGAGCAGAGAAGTAGGGGTTTTTGCCCAGTCTTCCTAATCTGTACAAGCCTCAGGTATATAAACAGGTATATAAACGCTTCCCTCATTATCACCTCCAGGTCCAAAATGGAGGGGCAACTGATAAGGCAGTGGCTGTATTGCCCAGCCTCTTGATATCACTGTCTAGCTCTGGGGAAGACCCTCTAAAACGAGAAGAGGCCTGTCTAGGCTCTACCATAAAGACACCATAAAGTTACCAAGGAGGCCCACAGAGAGCCATTCACACTTTATGTCACTGTCTAGACAGAGCTCTGGGAAGCGGAGGCCTCAGCATGATGACCCTCTTGAGCAAGGGGAGGCCCATTTACTGTATGCTCTACCCCAAAAACTGATGAAGTGGGACGCAAGAAACAGGATAGTCCATTTATTTAGCTATGTCTGGCAACCCTTCCTATGCGAATATAAAAGGAGCATACAATTCTATCTCCATATTTATAAAGGAGAAATGGCATGTGAGGAAGTGGGAAGCGACAAGTGGAATAGCCCATCTTTCTTCACCGATACCAACCAGTGCACAACTATAAACACGGGAAGAGCATGTTACTACTATTTCCGAATTCGCAACTGTGGGGAGACAATAGCTAATAAAGTGGGATGCGAGAGGCAGAATAGCCTATCTTCTTTTAGCTATGTCTAACCAATCCTTCATATGCAAATATGAAAGGAGCGTACACTCATATCTACGTATTTATTGAGGCAGAAAGCAGCATATAGTGTTAAGCAAGGTTCTCCTAGAGAAGCGAGCAAACATAACATGCATTTTCTCTAATCTCTAAGTATGAGAGATTGAAAAGGGCAACAGAGCTGAGAAAAGCTCTAACTGCTCATAAACTTCTCCATAGGAAAAACCTGTCCATGAGAGCCGGACAGGACATCAGCAAAGGATGGAGGGGGAGGAGCCTAAAGCAAGAGAGAAATATGTTACCTTCATCTCTGCCACATATTACTCCTTCAACCATCACAGACCCCAGAGAGGGATATATTTCCTTCTAGCTGAGACCACACCTCTGTGAATTTTTCTATGACAATCTCACAGGCAGTCAGAGTGCAAGATGAGATAAATCAAGGAGAAAGATTGCAATTCTCCTTGTCACAGATATCTTGCCATGGCCACCATAGCAGTTTTACACTGAATGGCTGTGAGCTACGCAGCATGGAGGGCTAACCTGTGGTCATCCAGCAACTCTCCATGGAGGGACGGGAATGAACATCATACTCCAGCAGCTTTGCTGAGCAAAGATCAGACAAATGCCTCTGCAAATGAGTCCAAAACGCGAGGTGCAGACGCTTAATTCTGATTCTTTAAGAAAAGAATCAAGCAAGAGCAGAGCTTCCCCACCACGATTCATCACAGTGCATGCATATACAGCTCCCTCAAGAGCTGACAGCATTCACTCTGCTCTCAAGCTTACATTGACAGGAAATATCTTCACACGCACACACTTAGACGAGCGGATCCTGAAGACAAAAAGGCTAATGAAGTCTAAAGCAGGCACCATTTTATACTCACGGGCACTTCTTGAGACATCATAGGGCTGCCATCTGCCAATCAATTGGCAAGTTTTCACACAGGCTTCGAAACACTGGTCGCGCAATAGCTGTTCCCATAGCCTCAAAGTTAAGTTCCTTCGAAAGGGAATTTCAACACTAAGACATGACAAAAAAAATCTCATCATGAAGAGTGGCTTGATCAAGTAGTGAAAAATAACATGATATGCGCAGCACAGTAACAAAACTACAATTGCACACCAACCACAGGTGTAGCTGTCAGGGTCCCTTTAGTTGATCTTGATTCTTAGTTTGGAAAAATGGCACAGTTAACACTGAAAAAAATAATAATTCTTAGGTCACCTAAAATGTGCTTCATATTTAGTAACTTTTGAATGAACTGTATGTTCCCTTCCGAGGGAACATCAGTGCTGCATCATTGCGTTGATCCTATGGGAACGTCTTCAGCATGTATCGGTGTCTGAAACACATGTAAACGTGCCAATACTATTAGCCATAGACGAAGTCAGGAGATATTACGTAATAGATGACTACATCCATAAAATGGTGCCTGAAAATGTCACCTCTTCTGTATGTAACTACAGAAGAGTCAAGTTTTAAATAGGAAAAATATCGAAACACTTTGGTCATTTTTTTTTTAAGAAATGCTAATGGTCTTGTCCACTTCAATGATGTATGCTAAGCTATGCTAAAAGTGGTACCGCCAGAACCGGAGATCGGCTGAATGGATTCAAAAACGGTAAAACTCAACAGTTTAACTCTGGGGGAGTTGTAAAATGAGCCTATTTCCAAAAACAGTGGAGTATCCCTTTAACATTGTCCTGATGTTATTGAATTTGGAGTATTCTAAATGATCGGCCACGTGCACAAGGTTAGTCATTTGCATAAAACAGGCCCAAATCATCTCCATATAAGGGCTTTCCACAGACGTTTTCCTCACAGCCTTTCGTCACTCGTCAAACTTGCCGCTGTTTGCAGATGTGCCCGATCCTCAAGGAGAGCAATGCCAAGTGTGCCATTCTCACCAGTTAAAACACGGACCCATATTACAGACCTCTCTTAAGCCAGCAGTATATACACGTATATCAGTGTTATTCAGAGAAACCTTGCAGCTGAAGCTATACTGCAGTTTATCTTACTCTTTATCCCTCTGGGGACCAAGAACGCACCCGTGCGTTTTGGCAGATTTTTTTCACATAGCAGAAAAATAGACTTAAACTACTCCATCATTTCTGGTCATACAGAGTTATGAAACATATTAAAAAAAACTGTTAAATGTCTACTTTTTTATGTGCCCACCTACAATCGAAATAAAATATTGTGCTTTTGTAAAATAAAGAAAATAAACAGGGTGTGCGTTCTGTCTCTCCATGTCCGTGAACTTTTTTTCTGGAGCACGTCTTTTAAACTTAAACAAAACTCAGCGAATACTATTCACCCAGACATGAGCAATATATGTTTATGATCATTTAAGTTTGTACGTTTAAATTATCTAATTTAAAACTTAAATAAATATTCCCTGTTTATGTAATCTATATAAAAAGAGAGAGGTGTCAGCCGTTCTCATTATCGTTCTCGCATCTCATTATTCCGCTAATGTGACACGCCCACGGAGAGCGCGCGCTATTCAAACGCTAATGATCTGAAGCAACACATTGAGACGTGTAAACGCCCACATAAACTCGGTAAACACACTTTATTTAGTCAGATTAATGTACTGTCGTCTTGCGCGGCTGTGAGGAATAATCCTGGGACATTTACCTACCTCAGAACAAGTGCTGGTTTATTTTCACTTCGAGGAGCGAGCTGGGCTGTAAGTGTTTTTATTTTTGTGCTTTGTTCTAATCGCGATATATAATAACGTTAGTGTCTGTAAACGCAAAAATAGCCTACTGTTTAAATTTGAATCATGTTTCTGTGTGTGTGTGTGTGTGTGTGTGTGTGTGTGTGTGTGTGTGTGTGTGTGTGTGTGTGTGTGTGTGTGTGTGTGTGTGTGTGTGTGTGTGACTAGTTTTGGATAGATTATAAAGTTTTAACTCTAAAATAGACATCAAATAAGCTTTTGTTAGCAGTTTCTGCTCATATGTTAAATATATAGTATGTTTTGTCAATAAACTAATCAACTAAGAATAGTGTTTGTTCCAATGCAAATTATATAAAAATAATGAATCCTTAACTTTGAAATATGTATGATAAAATGTATTGGCCTACTAAGACATTTATGGAAAAAGACAATTTTCTTTTCAAGATGTTTCCAACTCTAACTTTGAACCAATTCTGTAGAATGGCCCATATAACCTATTTGAACAGGATTTGTTTCCAGGTATGACTAAAAATGTGCTTTTGACTTTCATTTATATTTTGATTTTATATATATATATATATATATATATATATATATATATATATATATATATATATATGTATGTATGTATGTGTGTGTGTGTGTGTGTGTATTGTCCTTTCATTCAGGTGTGTCACACAAGAAAGAATGCAAGGCTCATTAATATGCGGGTCTTTGTCTTCTCAACCACCTAATTATTCACAATGGGGTTGGGCCGTTCATGCCCATTCGCATATTGCCTTGGCTAACAAAATAATGTGTTTCTCAATTTAAAAGAATCTATTGTGTTATGTGAATGATTAGAAAGGATGATTTTCAGATCATTTTTAAGCAAAAACTCTAGGCCACAACTTCCATTAGTCAAAAGTCTTGTGGACACATATTTAGTATGTGTTTTGTGGCTTTATTTCAGAAACTTTAATTTTTAGTTTTTTCAATAACCATGCATAAACAATATTCTCTCAAAAATACAAACATGTACATACATGTTGCTCACATATTATGGTAGCCCTGTTTGTGCTAAATAGAGTTTAATTTCACCTGTGCCATTAATATGTTTATAAGCAACTGAAAAAAGCACAAATGTCAGAGTATGTCAAAACATCTCAAGGACCCCAAAAACACCTTAGACCCCAGAGGGTTAACTGTGGCCTATATGATGAAATGTATTTAAATTAAATTAAATTGTAATGATTTTATTAAATAATTTTATATATGGATTATATAATACAATTAAAGGCAGGGTAGGTAGAAATTCCCAAAAATACTTTTTTCCAAATTTGTTTAAACTGTCTTTATATATACTATCATGTAAGTACTATCATGTATACTATCATGTATACTATATACTATCATGTAAGTACTATCATGTATACTATCATGTATACTATATACTATCATGTAAGTACTATCAACATGCTTCAATATAATTATAGTCGTTTATAATTATAACCGTGTTATATTTATAGAGCAGTTAAAGAGGTAAAGAAGTTATATGGAAGTATATATAGAAGTTATATGGCTTTACAGAGTAAGTGCTTTTTGCGTATAAATAATAATAAATTGGTACCTTTTCTGGTGAACTCACATCGGATTCATTTTGCCTGAACTTCTCTTGCAGAGTCTCAGCCAGCTGACACAACAGGAATCCGTTATCTAACCTGTCCATGAAGCTCTCGGCTGTGATTTCCACACCTGATGCAAAATATGAAAGAAGGAGATTAATATCTCACAAAAAAACTTTGATTTGGTTGCTCTTCATTGTACTTGGGTTATCTTTATAAACTCATTTTTATAAGTAACATTTCAAACATTATTAATATCATATTGTATTGTTAATATCATTCCGGAAATACTCATATCATTATACTTATCATATCATACATTGTTACATTATTATTGTAATGACTACGATGACATGTATATGTATAGGTATTCCTATTGAAAAATGAAATATATGATCAAAATCTAAGCTTACAGAATATATACATTTCTTTGCATTTCATTTCATCTTAATTCTCACTTAAACTCAAATTTAAACTAAAAATCTGCACCAAACTCAAATTCAAATTCAGGGATTTTAAAGGCATTCTCAAATCACACTCTAAATGACGCACAACCGTCTCAACTGTAGACATCTGTTGCAGCTATGATTCACAAACAAACAAATTTCAGCCCCAAAAACAGACAAGTGTTTTGGAAGGAAACAGCTGATTTATTTTCCAATAGTAATCCAGATGAAACACACACAGAAACACAGACTCAATTCTACAGAGATCAACATGTGGCGGCTGCATTTTACTGACTTCCAGACTATCATTCTTTCTACATGATGTCACTGTGAAACAGGAGGTGGTAGCAGGGGGTTGGGGTATCTGTGGAAAGAGCATATTTTCTCATCTACTCCATGTTTTTTTTTTTTTTTTTTTCATAAAGTCAGTGGTCGAGGGGGTTTAGATGTTTTAATGAGTTCCAAATGTGGTAATTGAGCCCAGTGGAGAGGAGAGACGGAGGGCTTGTGATATTCTTTCTGAATGAAGGCCTACCTCCTTTATTTAATCTCAGACAATATCTTACACTCGCTCCATCTCCAAAGTCGTCAAGTGAAGTTATACAGTGCTTTTTACAATACAGATTGTTTCAAAGCAGCTTTACGGAGATAACAGGAAAATAATGCAACAAAACCTTCCTTGAGGTTTACTTTTAATGTTGTGCACACATTCGCAAAATATGAATTATTATTATTAACCCTCATTCCGGAAATGTTCTATTTTAAGGTTTGTCATTCGCTGACCACTGTATGATTGTACACATAATCATATGATGCAATCCGGGACAGCATTAAAAATAAACCATTTACTTGTTCCTGATGCTGGGGACCTTCTGAAGGCTGTACATGCTGTTTAAACCAAGAGAAAGAAGGGGGGGGGGGGTGTCATTGTTCAGCAGTCAGCTCAGTGTTGATTCAGTTCCATTGTAAAGATCATCAATTATTAAATTAGTTCAATTCGGCTTTAAAGCAGCTTTGCAGAAAACAGTGATGTCATTGTCCAGTTCAGTTCAGTTCAGTTCTCATCGAATAGTGGGTCTCATTCATGAAACACGAGCAGAACGATTATTTGTGTAAATCGTGTGTAAAGTGGTTCTGGCGTAAATTTTCGGATTCATTAAAATGTTTGTATTTTCCAAATGTTAGTTGGTACACAAGAAATCTACACCTGCTCCCGGCCACGCGTAAATAGTGCGCTTAACACCCGAACGTTTTGCTCATTAATAACTAAGGCTGCATTTTAATTCACCTTAATCGGGTACATATTTGCACAGCATTTTGAAAAAAATATTATGTAATTACATACGGTTTTTCTTATTATGAGAGCCAGTAATAGCATCTGCGATGGTGGTCCTTCTCCAGTTTAAATACTATTTTTCCGAAGTGAACTACTTCGTTTTTTGCTCTCAAGCTTAATGTCGAACCATTTTCTTCTCACTTCTGGGAATGTTCGATTAACAGGTGAAACTCCATTAACTGCATCTGTAATATGCTGCCAAGCTTCCTTTTTTTTAGGACCCGATACGCCACTATGTACGCTTGAAAATAAAATGTGGCGTTTTGAATGAACTTCTGATAATAAAACTTCAATTTCTGCATTTGAGAATTTTTTTTTCATTCGCATTCATGTCATAATATGATGCCCATATATAGTTGTCAGTCGGATTTAATGGGCGGGATTTATGGTAATTGAGAATGAACGTGCACGCGCATCCCATTTACGACTGATTGGAATTCATTAACACACACACACATTTCACTATCACATCTGACGTTTACGAAGTATTTGTGAATCAGGAGAAGAGTTTTCGGGAAGGTCTCTTTACGCGCAAATCACTCGCATATTTACTCGTATATTTACGAATGTTTCATGAAGACCCACAGTGAGTGCAGTCAGATCAATAATACTGTTGTTAGAAATGAAATATGCATCTGTATACTGTATCCAGAATCAGTGATTATAATGTGTTCTTTCTATGTGTTCACAACACTCATGTCTGGAATAGGGTCATGTCCATGGCCAGGGCCTATGGTGCAATGATGTAAAAGTACTGTATTCATTGATTTCTTGCTCTTGTCTTGTCACGACTCTGTCTCACTCCTCGCTGCACACTTAGGGGCCGTTTACACGACACCGTTGTCAACTAAATACTGAAAACCTTTTCTGCGTTTTGCCCATTCATTCACATGACAATGTTTTTGGTGGCTTGAAAATGCAAACTTTTGAAAACGGCTTTCAAAGATCAAATTTTTGAAAAGATAGCCTACTGTTACTATCTCCATGTAAACTACAAAAAAAGCGAATCTGTGAAACCAGTGTAGGTATGCACATGGTTATTACGTGTTTTAGGCATGTGCATTTGGCACATTGCTCTGTAAAATAATTCGTATGTGCGCAGGTGCGTAGTGTTTCTCTACAAAGTGGCATCGCCAACTACTGGCCTGGCATGCATAATACAGCATCTTAGTCACGGCCATGGTTAGGGAAAAGAGGCCAACTTGGCAAGCCAACTATGTAAATGGAGCTTGAGGTAAGTTTTAAATTTTAGCGCCATGTCACGTTAACCAATACGCCATTTCATGTTGCATTTTTATTGGCTAGTCAGTAGACGTAGGTTGAAGCAGCAAACACACTGTGAGATGTTCATGATACATTTCTGATACTGTCAGAAAATGACTTCAGGCTATCTTTGGTCACAAGGCCGTGACAAAAGCCATCTTTGAACCTCTCTCGCTGTACGACGTAGGACCACCATTTGTCCTGTGTATTTTCCAAGGAAGAAAAGTGAATGAGTTTCTCCATGCAAAACTGTCACAATGGTAGCATGGCTAGTGTAGTGTGAATGGATATTTTCTTTCTAGGCAAAGTCATTTAAGTAATCTACTGTTTGCCAAGATTATGTTTTAACAATGGCATTATAAATTGTGCTACTTTAGCTCAAAACACCACAAATAAAAAGTGCAACAACAATTACTAAAAATGCAAATGAGTAAAACAATAAAACAAATCATATATATATACAGTATATGGTTCCTGGCAAGATCAGCAAAAGGTTAAATTGTGTTCCTGTAGCACAGATCAGTTTCAGAGATCTGAGGAGTTATTTGTCTAAAAAAAAAAATAACACAGAGACAGGAGTAAGCCACTAAAGAGTGTGGAAGATCTGGATAGGGATCTAGTGGTTGGTGTGTGGTTGTATATGAAGCCCCTGTGCGGCCCACTGCGGCTCCTGGCTTCCTTTTGCTCCAGGCAGACCAAAGACAAAGCCCTGGTTTCAGCTGGCTGTTCACAGCCCGAGAGCTGCCAGAATTCCACAGACATCCCCCTCCATCCATCCACACACACACACACACACACACACACACACACACACACACACACACACACACACACAGAACAGACGCCAGGACCATGACACACTACCATTCTTTTCGGTTCAGAATTTGACTCCTGGTTCAAATGGTGAGTGGTATTCAGAATCTAATTAATGATGGGAAATGTTGGAAAAGGAAACACATACAATCGTATGCATGTTTGTATATGCACATAAATAGATTATATTAAATAAAATCAAAACATATTGTGTGACACATATTAAAGGGGTGGTTCAGGATTTTGGACATCGGGCCTCATTTCCAAGTTAGCCTTAGTGTTATTTATCAGTGGAGACAGTTTTCAAAAATGTTCATCCAGTCGTTCCAGTTGCATAGTTCGCCGGTGCTAGGCTAGCGCGAGTCAACGGTAACTGCTAGCCTGCCATTAAAAACAGTTTTACCCACTCCACAGTTCACCAAAAGCAAATAAATTATAACGCCAGACTATCGATGTAAATGTCTGTTAAGATAATAATGTTAAAAATCAAACTACCCTTACTACCTTTTCTAGAGCAAGTTCGATACAGATGCTTTCATTTTTGGTACTTGCCGATATAGAGTACCGATACCTGTATATTCATTGCATTTGTAATTTTTAAAGGGGTCATATAATGCCATTTTTGTACAAGCTAATATGATTCTTTAGGGTGTAAATTAAAAGTTTGTAATATACTTTAATTAAAAATTCTCATTAGTATTGTAAGAAAACACTTATTTTACCTGGTCAAAAACAGCTCTGTTTTCAGCACGCCGTTTCAGTGCATATGACTTTAAATGATAATGAGCTACGCTCACCCCGCCCCTCTGTTCTGTGCTACACCGTTTGAAACTCAATAACACAATAACCATAACGCGTTGTTCATTATAAACGTGGGATTATGAATTATATGGAGAACGTCGTACATAGAAAACATGCAGTAATGTACCCTGAGTGTAAACCTTAGACGCATTCATCGTGAAGCGATTTGAAAATATATAAATATTAATATAAAGGTTAATAAAACGTTACACTCACTTCAGTTGTTCTAGAGGTTCAGCAGGAACACGAATATCTGGTACCGATCCTTTTTTCATGAGCAGCTGCTTAGCAAAACCAGCTTTATACTGATCCTCGTTTATAAAGCAGTCTGGTGAGAAATGATTCGCGCAAACATGAGAGCATTGACGTTGATCGTGGGGAATATTCCCTTCGAAAACAAACTCAGCCACTGCGTCTTCAGCGGTTCGAATTTAGGAACATTAAAATGACTGTGTTCGTTATTACACCCAAGAACAGAACACCACAATCGCTTAGACGCCATTCTGCTCATAGACAGTGCTCCAGCATATCAACAATGACCGCGCCGGTCCGCGCAGACTATGATTGACAACTGGCTCACGAGCGAGGGCGGGTCTGTGTTGAAACGCGCCTGTCAATCAACAATCGTGGGAGGGGCTTCCGAGCCTGTGACGTCACACGGTCGAACGGCTCGATTTGAGGCAGGGGAAAACATATAAGGAGATTAAAACAAAAACACTGGATGGATTTTTATCATTATATGATGGTTGTGTACAGGCACTGCCAACACACATTTCAGTACAATCAACTTGAAAAAGTGCATGTACCATTATATGACCCCTTTAAAAGTATTGGGTAGAGAAACCAAAAGAATATGAATCAAATTAGTTGGCTTAATTCATTTATCAATATATTTCCTTCCGTTGTTCAGTTATCAAACACTGTACACACGCAGCGTGGTATCGTGGTATATTTTTGGTATTGGATCATTTTGATGAGTACGAGTACACGAGCGCAGATATCAGGCCCAGTACCGATACTGGTATTGGTATCAGTGCATCCCTAGTCGGGGGTATGCTAATTTCAAACGTGATAGAGCATTAAATCTTTCCCTGGTAATTTCCGTCATTTATGACACAACGCTTCCCCGCCATTGACGGAATTTCCAGGGTTTCAGTATTTCCACGGTTATACGGTAGGGGGCGCTATTAGGCATCTTCTGAAAGAGTAGATAATCTCCAGATCAAAAGACATGTGAAGAAGAAGCAGAAACCAGCGATAGCATATGTAAGCAGGAGCATACAGTTGTAATTGAAATTATTCAACCCCCATTGCAAATCCGGATTATTGGCAAAATGTGAATAAAATGTCGACCCAGGATGAGGTTTAGGACTGTGTGCAACCTTAGATGGACTCGATCAACTCATTTTTTCCTCAAAATGTTGCTTTTTTTAATGAAACATTCAAGTGTTGATTAAAAAAGAAGAATGCATGAAGCTATAGAATAAAAGTTTAAACGCAAGAGTGTCGGTTCTTTCTTTTGATATATTGCGTGTTCAGATATTCATACAGCAAAATATTCTGGGGGCCATGAAACTTTTGTGAAAGTGATAAAAAAAAATGCTGGGGGTGGCTTGCAACTTTTTTCCAAAAACGCTGGCGGGGAAACATTCACCTTTCAACCGAACTGCCGTGATACAAAAAGCAACCAACGTAATAATATGTTGCCACATTCACATGTAACTGTTTTAGAGGAAATTGAACATGATATTTAATGCCAGTAACATTTTCCTGTGAGACATACTACAAGCACCGCAATATAATTTAGCAAAATGCAATGGAGAAAAACAATAGCGCCTCTTGTGGACGTGTCACTTGAAAAGTGCAGCAAAATGTGCCCAGAGCTATTTTTTTCAGAAATATAGGCTGAAATACAGCTATTTATTTGCTATCCTAACCATGTATAATTATGGTTGATTACATTATTTTTTTATTTATAGCATTACAGCATTGTCCAAGTTGTCCATGACTCAGAACAGACCAGTGATCATTTTTTGTTTGAAACTCAATGGATACTAACTGATTTGAAAGATATGGGAAGATATTGGAGCAATTCATAAATGACTTACCCAGCATACTGGAGAGCCAGAGCGCCAGGTCTTCCTTCATGGGCAGCAGGCTGGCCTCATGTCTACTGGCCAGCCACTGACTGTACAGCTGCAGATCTGTGAGGCCCGGGCCAGCCGGCTGCTGCTTACCGCTCAGAGGACTGCACATGCTTCAGAAAACAACCACATCGACATCAGTACAACTAAATAACATTAATTCAGTCATTTGGCTCTGAAATAATTCATTTGAGGAATTTTGTCAATTTCACACAAATGTTCTTTGTCTCCTAAAGTGCCTCCGATCATCATTCAAGCACTTTCTGTTGTTTCACAGTCGACTCTTATCCTCCATACTGATCCTCTCATCACAGTCCAGCTCCAGGCTCTCTTGTTTGTCCTGTGATATAATATTCCCTCGCTTTTCCCCTGTTTTTTTTAAAGACAGAACAGCCACTGTGTGGCTTCTCTCCAGTCCTGCCCTAGTGACTCTCTTTGACCCAAAAGCTCTATAAACACAAATAAACATGCTTTCCCTAATAAAACCTCAGAATAAATTGCCATTTCACATTCAGACAATCTAACTAGATTAAATTTCCTGAAGAAAATACGTCTTAGATAATGTGAACACTTTGACAGTATTCTCTGATCCATTCCTACGGTGTTCTGACTGGATTCTAGGACATTGTTCTTGTCAGGGCATTGCTAGGGATGGGATAAGGTGTTCAGAGTGTTTTTTAGGGTGTTACAATGTGGTTTTTAGAGTTTTTTGAGTGGTCGCTAGATGGTTTCTCACTTCCCTAAGTCAAAAGCGTCCACCACCAGTTCTCTTTGATATTCTGGTCTATATAAACTACAGTTCAATTGTTTGGGTTTTTGGAAATAAACTAATGCCAGGATGCATTCAATTGATCAAAAGTGACAGTAAAGACATTTATAATGTTACAAAAGATTTCTATTTCAAATAAATAGTTCATATTCAAAGTTATATGTTCATTTTAAGCAGCACAACAAGATTCTCCAGCAGCAAATCAGCATATTGGAATGATTTCTGAAGGATCATGCGACACTGGAGACTGAAAATTTAGTTTTGCATCACAGGAATAAATTAAAATTTTAAAATATATTAAAAACATTTATTTTAATTTGTATGATATTTCACAAAATGACTGTTTTTTATGCTATTTTTATTCTAATAAGTGCAGACTTGGTGAGCATAATTGTTACAAAAAAAAGTCTTCTACCCGACAGTCAAAGCGGCATTACATCATGAAAGTGTGGATTGGTTATTAATTGGTTATGTAGTGATGTTGAGGATTATGAACCCTGTGAGGTTTTCTTTAATTTAGTGATAACAAATGTGTCTCTGTAACTAATAGAGGCTAGAGCAGTTATTGCAGAGACATTTCCCTGTTTGTCTAAGGCAGTTACATTTCCCTGTAACAACCTGAGGCTATTTGATGAAGAATGTGTACCAATCCACACGGATGAAGACAGAGCATTCTTTTCTAGTGAATTCTGCCAAGTTAATCTGGTTCTGTCTCTCAGCAAAGCTTGCATGTCATTGTTGCTTGAAGTTTATTTATTTGTAATGCATTACATGCAGTGGCAGTGGTCTGGTTTATTATGCACACAGAAATGTGGCGATAATTTGTGATGCCACCCAGCACTGCGAGGGATTTCCCCTTACCCATAATTCATTGCATCACATGTGAATTCCAGAGGCACAAGAGAAAAGTTATGAGTTCTGAGAAGTGTAAATATCTTCAGTGATGCAGAATGGGGCCTCTTCCTAAGTTTTTCTCTGCTGTATCCCACTAAGCAACCTGGGAATGAGAACTTGGGTCCAACAATTGTCACATTGTTGTTGTGAGCTCTGAATGGCTGGCAGTCCAATGCGAACTGAAAGTCAATCTGTATTTTTCTTGTTTCACAAAATAGCCAGAGTTCACTTTACCTGCCAAACGTCTATCAGATAAACCCAAATCTCCTCTTTTCTTTTCTTTTCTTTCTGAAAGAGCTCCTGTGCTGGAAAAGGTTGAGAGAAACAGAAAGAGGAAAAAAAGAGGTGTTACTGGCACTCTAGGGAATTAAAAAGAGGACAAATTGTCCCATATGGACAAAGGAAGATGCCTTTTGAGACATGAACAGTAGTCCCTAATAATATCAGTGCTGTCTGTTTTTAAAATTTCCAGACTGTGATCATCAGGGCTTGAATGATAAAGCTGATACGATCTGAGATTGGCCTTATTATTAGTAGTGCCGGCATCACTATTACTACTCTAAATGATCAGATCTGGCAGACGATAAAAAGCATGAGAAAATGATCCTGCACACTTACACTAAAGGAGGAAGCCAAGCGATATAGAGACACAAATAATTAATTAGACTTAGTTATTTTGACATAATCAATAAGCAACCAACAAGCAACCTCCCAAGAACATAGCTACTAAAAACCTCGCTAAACACTTTACCAATGACACACACACACACACACACACATACAGTGCATATGTGCACAGAGAGAGATTGAGAGAGAGAGAGAGAGACAGAGGCGTCAACGTTTTCTGTTAACAATGTGTTTGTAAAGCGTTGAGCATTGTAGCCACAGACATGTTTGTTGAGCATGTGAAAGATGTGTTCAAGTTAAAGGGGTAGTTCACCCAAAAATGAAAATGCAGTCATTATTTACTCAACCTCATGTTTTTCCAAACCCGCAAGACTTTCGTTCCTCTTCGGAACACAAATGAAGATCTTATTGATGAAATCTTAGAGCTTTCTGTCCCTTCATTAACAGCCACGCAACTACCACATTGTGGTTGTATCTCTATTAGTGTTACTGGTTCTTAGTGCTGCATTTGATACTATTGACCACAACATTCTTTTAAAGCTGCAGTCCGTAGCTTTTTCTGGGTTAAAAATGATCCAAAATACATATTTGAGAAAATACATAACCAGCCAGTGTTCAAAACTATCTGCTTGCCTTCGCTCGATTCAAAGCGGTAAGCTTGTAATAATGTTTTTAATTCCAGTGGTACTGGTGGATTTCCGCGGGAGATTCGAGCATGTCTTTGCGTCATTACGTCACATCTGTACACATGAAGAAGAGTCTCGGCTAGTAGGCTATATTGCGTGAGGATGTTGGAGGTGTAGATTTATAGCCTTTTCTCACAGCACTTGATATAATAAAACTTATCAATTTGATGGCGGATCCAGAAAGGTTCAAACGACAATCACCAGTGACAACTGGAAACTCACCCACTGTAAAAAGCAAAAGACTTCGTTCGGACTTCGGAGTGGCTACAGGAAGAAAAAAAAACTGGAACCGGACCCATGCGAAAACAAGGATAATATCGGAAGGACATTACATGTAGTCACGCAATGCTGACGTTGTTAACATTAACAATTTGAGAACAAAGTATAATTTGCACGGTTTTGTGTGATATGATAAGCGATTTTTAGATTTAATCAGCGCGATTTACTGCAATGTCAGAACCAGAACAAAAGTGGATGTTGTTCAGATGACAACATCCACTTCCAAAAGAATAATCTGTGATTCTGAATGCCATTATCCACACCGGCGCGGCGACTGACAGCCGCACACTCTCCTCAAACATTGTGTTCATCTGTGCTGTGTTGAGGGTGTCGAAGTACAACTCACGTAAAGTTGATAATTCCGCGAATGACTGCAATTGCAGATTTTGAACAGAGATGGCGACAAAGAGGAAAAACTGGGGACTGCAGCTTTAAATAGACTCGGAAATTGTGTTGCCATTAGTGGAATTGCACTAGCATGGTTTAAATCATACTTATCTGACCGTTATCAGTTTGTAGCAATAAATGAAGATATGTCTTATCGATCACAAGTTCAGTATGGCGTACCACAAGGCCCAGTACTAGGACCGTTGCTGTTCACTCTGTACATGCTACCCTTGGGAGATATCATTAGGAAGCATGGAGTTAGCTTTCATTGTTATGCTGATGATACTCAGCTCTATATTTCTTCGCGCCCTGACGAAACTTACCAATTCACAAAATTAACGGAATGCATAGCTGACATAAAAATGTGGATGACTAGTAATTTCCTACTACTAAATTCTGAAGAAAAAAAAAAAACAGTTTCTAATTATTGGGCAAAAAACCTCTGCACGTAATAACCTAGAATACTGTCTAACACTTTGCTTCTGATACTGCTCTCTTAAGTCTTCGTCGTTGGTTAGGAACCTGGGTGTGCTCTTTGATACCAATCTTTCATTTGAAAGTCACGTGTCTAGCATCTGTAAAATCGCATTCTTCCATCTTAAAAATATATCTAAATTACGACATATGCTTTCAGTGAAAAATGCGGCACAGTTAGTTCATGTATTCATGACCTCAAGGCTAGATTATTGAACCAGGAAGTATGACCTGGTTCTGTCAACACTGCATTGGCTCCCTATTAAAGGGTTAGTTCACCCAAAAATGAAAATTCTGTCAGTAATTACTCTCCCTCATGTTGTTCCAACCCCGTAAGACCTTCGTTCATCTTCGGACCATGAATTAAGATATTTTTGATGAAATCTGAGAGCTGGATCATCCTCCATACTAGTCCATAGGCTTCTTCAGGGATTGAACTTGCCGGCCTCGAAAAGTTATTAAAGACATCGTTAAAATAGTCCAAGTGACTACAGTGGCTCAATCTTAAGTTTATCAAGCGACGAGAATACATTTGTGCGCAAAAACAAACAAAAATAACGACTTTATTTCAACTATTCATTTCCTTCTCTTTGGGCCTCGAGTCAGTTAACGTAGTGTGATTCCATAGAGCTACGTCACACGTAGGCTCACTATTGGCCGACACTGGTCATGTGCGTGATGCGTGTGACGTACAACAACAGAAGCTTACGCTATTACACTAGTGAACTGACTCGAAAGCCCACAGAGAAGGAAATGAATAGTTGAAATAAAGTCGTTATTTTTGTTTTTTTGCGCACAAAAAGTATTCTCGTCGCTTGATAAACTTAAGATTGAGCCACTGTAGTCACTTGGACTATTTTAACGATGTCTTTCATAACTTTTCGAGGCCGGCAAGTTCAATCCCTGAAGAAGCCTATGGACTAGTATGGAGGAGTGATCCAGCTCTCAGATTTCATCAAAAATATCTTAATTCGTGTTCCGAAGATGAACGAAGGTCTTACGGGGTTGGAACAACATGAGGGTGAGTAATTACTGACAGAATTTTCATTTTTGGGTGAACTAACCCTTTAAACATTGTATACATTTTTAAATATTGCTGATTACTTATAAAGCACTAAATGGTTTGGCTCCCCAGTACTCTCCCAGAGCTCTTAACACATTATAGTCCGTCACGTCTATTGCGATCTCAAAACTCTGGCCAGTTGATAATACCTAGAATATCAAAATCGACTGCTGGCGGTAGATCCTTTTCCTATTTAGCACCAAAACTCTGGAACAATCTTCCTAACATTGTCCGGGAAGCAGACACACTCTGTCAGTTTAAATCTAGACTAAATATAGAATATTATATATAGAACATTATACATTTCTTTTATTCAAATCAGTTAAATGATTATTAGGCTGCATAAATTAGGTCAGCTGGAACTGGGAACACTTCCTATTACACCCGATGTACTCGTTACATCATAAGAAGAATCGCAGGGGCGTCGAATTTAGTAGGGACACTAGGGACGTGTCCCTATCAATATCCAGTGACACTGATATATCCCTTGCAATAATTTTGATCAAAACTTAAAATATATTTATATATTGATCTCCCCGTCCAAACCTACGCCACTGGAAGAATGGCATCTACGCTAATGTTAGTCTTTCTGCTTATTCTGAATCCGAGGTTTACTGTAATCAGCCGGATCCGGGCCGTATCCAGATCAGATGGAGGACCTGCGCCTGGACTAAACCGCTCAATTCATATGGATTAGTTTTACCATCTCTTTATGAACTTTCTGAAGCGTCAAAGTGGTAGTTGCAGCAGGGCCGTCGCTAGTGGGGTGAAAGGTGGTGACAATTGTAGGGGCCCCCGCTGCCCAGGGGGCCCCACAAAATCCAGCAGTTATACTATTTAGGCCCCTGTAGTATGAATAATTCTAATATTTATATTAGTTGTATGCCTGAGATTTAAATGAAAACCAAAAAAAAAAAAACGTGCAATTTGGTTAAATATTTTTCCAAATATCTGCTTCTCTTACCTCCATTAAAATGGTTTAGTCCGACCTAAAGTATTTATTAATTATTCAGTCAGAGTCAGTGACAAACATCAGATGGACCCAATAAAATTGTAAGTCCCACCCCAGCTCGTGAACAGAACCAATCAGAGTTGAGGCGGCAGCCTGAAGTTAACGATGAACTTGGTGGAAGAGCAGGAGACTGACTGACTGAAAAATGTCGGGGAAAAGAAAACATAAATCAGGGAACCAGAAACGCCACGAAAAGATGGAGAGGGAGGCAAGGAGAGTGGTTGTATCCCAGTAGATCAAGACGCTCTTAAAGACAGGTTATGTTATTTTGCTGGGAATTAGAAAACGTCCGTCTACAGTCTGCCGTGTACAGTCATTTTTTATTATCGGTGCGCGCCACAATCGACCGAATGATTACGTGGTCTAAATTCACGAGTCACGACGCATTGCATTATGCATCTGACCTGCCGGCTGATGATATTTAATACATCGAGAATACAACACACTGCACTTGGATGAATAAATGTATTCGCTTTATTTAATAATATTACCAGTTCCATATTATCTTTATTAAAAAAATAAGACAATAAATGGTTTTAAATGGTTTTATTTTTTTAATTAGACCGCATTCTTGTCAATTTTAAATGTTTACTTTTTGATTTATGAATTATAACAGACTGAATTTTTTTAATTGTTTTTATTATTATTTAACAATTTCTTGCTTTTTGTTAGTTTTTATTAGTTGTAGTTTTTATATAAACATTTAACTTTTAAAATAAAGGTTTTACAACAACATCACCATCTTCTGTTATATGTGGCCTCCATGCTCAGCTATTGTACAGTATATGATATTGGTGGAGGGTGGTGGGGGCCCACATCAATATTTTTTCAGGGGGCCCCGAATCCTCTAGCTACGGCCCTGAGTTGCAGAGCTGTCAATGGAGGGACAGAAAGCTCTCAGATTTCAATAAAAAAGATCTTCATTTGTGTTCCGAAGATGAACGAAAGTCTTACAGGTTTGAAACGACATGAGGGTGAGTAAATATTAAATAATGACAGAATTTTTATTTTTGGGTGAACTAACCCTTTAAGCCAGTTTTATTTCAGCGTGAGCTCTGTTTGTACTTCGTTGGATATAATGAAACGATACTATATAGCATTATGGCATCAGGTTTTGTATGAAAAAGTACCACACAAATTTTCTTCAGAAAGTGGCACTTAATAAAACAGACAAGCATTCGCTAAAATCTCTCTCGTTTCTCAAAGACTGCTAACCATTTGCTGACATTAGACGCTCACACAACTGTGTGATCACCACCTTGAAACAGATGCTCTGCAAACACAAGCCCGCACAGTTCACAGATTGAGAGGACATTTACAGTACATTCACCACCACACATATAAACTCACATATTGGGCACATATGGTTGACTCCAAAGGTCAGTGTACAGTGTGACAGAAAACCTTTAGCTGGGACAATTATATTGAACAACATAATATTATTTCAGTCAATATTGTTTTAGCAAACAGATGAGTTTAAATTGAAGTTGCAACAGTAGAGTTATATAAAGACAATAAGTGTCTCCAATAGGTTGTGTGAATTTCCCATCTGTAAACCAAACACTGACTAATGCAGAAATATAAGTGATAATACTCCAGCTCAATTATCTGATTCTGCTGCAGTTATTTGAGCTTCAACGCTGTCATGTTCATCAAGCACAGACCACACATTGTATTCTGCCCTTAAAGGACTGTGAAGGGTAAATCACACACACACACACACACACACACACACACACAGGACTTCTTCAGTCTCCATGCAGTGGTCATCTTATCACATTTTCTAAATCCAACCTGATTTTTTGCCTTTTGCATTCAAGTTAATTTTAAAGTCTATTTCCTTTCCCAGTTAGCTTATTCAGTCTAGTTGTCTGCACAATCCCATTACATAATGCTTGATGTATCAGACTGGCTTTAATTATATTTACAGGCTTTAACTGTTAGTTTTAAGTGCACAATAACACATTTAACTGAGGCAGCCCATATGAGAGAAACTCAAATACCTTCTGCAGTCTAATAGCAAAAAAACTGTTATTTTCTATTTGTTTTCAAGTGGGTATGCTTGACATTTTATGACTGTAGTAATATTTCCAAGCTGCTGGTGCTTTCATGAGCTATTTTTAACACTTAAAGAGAAACCACAAAAACAGACTATATTGTAGGCAGATCTAAACTAGATGCATTGCTCAAAAAAGTTCTTCTATAAGTATAATTAGGGTACTGAATGTTGAAGGAACTTTTTCCACATTAATGCATTTTATTTTAAAAAGAATAAAAATATTTGTACTGTACTATAGGTAATTCTATCAATCTATCAATGTATCCATGTCTCTATCTATCTATCCATCTATAAGAAACATTTCTCTTTCCAGAAAAATATCCACTCACCCTCCAGAATGCACTGCCGGCAGGCGGTTCTTCAAAAGTAGACTCTCGTTTCCAATGAATTCATGCTTTTCTCAAGCACAGGGTCCTCAGACTGTTTACCATGACACTGAGCCTCAAAGAGCCGAATGTCATTGCGAGTCTCAGTTCAAAGTGCGCTCATCTCACCGCCTCCCTGAGAGACGCGACGCGACGCGTCTTTATCAGCGCGATGCGACAGCTCCGTGCAGGAGAGACCATAAAACGAGCCACACAGAAGAGAAAAACGTTAACTGGCCGGAAAAATAGAAATACCATACACATCTTGATCTTACAAAGAAATAGTATTGTATATGCATGTTATTTTTCTATATCTAATATGTTATAATACAACTATTTTACTTTAAATGTTTATATATATACAGATAAAAATGAATACAACATATAAAATAAAATAGGCTACAAAACGTGCTTTTCACAAAATGTTTTTTTTGTAAAATGAGAATCTATTTATACGTTGGAACCATAGACTGTAAAAAAATCAACAAGTGATCAATATATATATATATATATATATCATATAATAATAATAATAATAATATATATATATATATATATATATACAGGGCTTGACATTAACACCCGCCAACCCGCCAAATGCGGGCGCATTTCACCCGTGGCGGGTAACACAGTCACTCTCACTAGCCACTTTGGCGTGTTGAAGATTTGTAGTCTTGTCAAAGGACATCTGACATAACAAACGAATTGCAATTTGACACTATGCCACTACCACTCCCATGAGTACCACCTGCACATAGTTTAGTGTTTGCTCATTGGTCCATTCGTGAATCCTCTTGAACGACAACACTGCAAACAAGAAGACACGCGGAGATTAAACTCGCGGACTGTGCGACGAACTGGGCTGTTTTAGTCTGCCCTTAATTATCAACTTAATGTGATGATATAGCGATCTTTTTTTAATAGCAGGAGAATCCAGACCACCGGCGTGTCTCACGCTCTCCTGCAGTGCCGCTGCGCGAGGGTGCGCGCGCCAAACGAACGATCATCACACGCGACTGGTCGCATACACACACACATCAACACAGCGTTCAGTCAGTTCGTGAGTGTGCATGGCCGGTATTAAAGCAAAAATCATCTTCATGATTAAGGGCCACGGTGTAGGCCTAACTACTAGCAGGGCTGCCCTTATGTCACGTCATATCACAACTATCTTTCCAGAGTTAATTCTATGTTTTAATAAAATTAATCATGCCATGAAAGAAAGCAGGAGATGCGCTTGTGGGAATAATCTGGAAAATAAAGACCTGTAGGCCTATACTTGTTTCAGGTGGACATATCTCCAGTTACTCAGAGCTTCATGATGATAATTATTAAGTCAGAGCTCTGAGGAAAAGCTGATGCAAAACAATCCAAAGTCCTATATAGTCCTATATAGCCTATATAAAGTTGTAATCCTGGTGCCTTAATTGTGGATTTTTTCTTTAAAATTATTATTTATTCTTTGCTCGTTGTTTCTAATGCAGATAATTGTTCTACTCTGTATTGCAGTATTTACTGCTGTAAAACAAAAAACAAACAAACAATGCAGCACTTTTATTATATACAATAAGAAGCTATTTTATGTGTGTATCTTAGACAACATGTTATCAAAAAAGGAGCTTAACAACCTTATCAGAGCTAATGATAATATTAGTTCATTTTAGCACGTTTTCAGCCCCATTGTCAATTTTAATCATATAAAACGTACAACAACAAAACTGTGGCTAGTAAAAATGCTGCGTGGCTAGTCATTTTGGAAAACCACTAGCCACATTGGCTAGTGAGCAAAAAAGTTAATGTCAAGCGCTGTATATATATATATATATATATATATATATATATATATATATATGCAACTTTTATTTTGAAAAAATAGTTTTAGGAAGTTCAGTACCGCGAAAAAAAAAAAGTGACGTCGTGCGCGTCCTCCACCAATAGCGAATCAAGAACGAAGCACGCGCTAGCTGAAGTTCATATTCCATGCTTTCTTGTTTATGTGCGGTAACAGTGCAGGGAGTTTCATGGAGGCTGTGCTGAGACAACTGACGAACATCCTGGAGTTACTGACCGTGTCTCAGACGGACCGCGTGCGTGAATGGGACCAGCACACCTTACAGCGGGCGTTTCAGTGGGCCGAGTACTGCGAGCAGCTCCACTCCCGCTTCCAGTCCAACCCCACGGTCCGGTCCGCACTGGAGGCCGGCCTGCAGGACACCAACCAGCGGCTGCAGGACGCGCTCCCGGCGCACTCTCCAGTCATGTTCTCGGACCTGGCTCAGTGTCAACACAAGCTGCTCGTTAATCTACTCACAAACCCTTACTCACCGAACTCTGTGGCTCAAATGCTTTTCCCAAATCCCAAAACTGCAGCACAGGAATTCCAGTTTGATCAAAGCAGCTTCATTACACGCAAATCTGCGTTTAATCTGCTCTGCCGCTCGTGTGACCGGACTAGTCATCCTGGTTTACAGGTTGAGGCAGAAGTGAGAGGCAAACTGCTCCGGGAACTCCTGAACTCTCTGCTAACTCGTTCCGGCAATGACGAGTATGCGAGAACAGTGCTGGATTCCATCCTTCGTGACAGCGCGGGAAAAACGGAAAGCCTGTATGACGTAATAGCAGCTGCGCTCCTCTCCAGTAATGACGACACGAACGCCGTCACTCAGCACTTTATCCTCGCCTGGATTCAACATCGCGATGGGTGTTGCAGTAAACTGTGCAGATCGCTGTCTCCCGGACTTTGTACTGTCCTCTCCCGACAGTCTCCGGAGTTTAAACAGGCATATTGGGGTGTTTTGAAACAGTGGGCGTCCTGCTTGCAGTATGACGTCTTGGAGAGTGTTTGGGTGCCGACGTCAGATGGGCCAGTGACGTTTAATGCTATGGCTGATCGATTAAAAGATTTATTAAATTCAGGAGCACCTTTAAAAGAGGACACTGAGACTGAGCTTAACGCGCTCAAACTGGAAGATGGAGACTTTAATGTGAAGGGCATCAGTGTATGGACTGATCTAATCATTCAACTGAAGATTGGAAGTTAATTCAATAATATTATTAGCTGGGCTATTTAACATTTGATGATAGTTAAACTAATGGTAATGTGTTCTATTTTAGGTTAGAACTGTGTGCATTTTCCCCATACGTATTATAATTATTAATAGCCTATATTTGGCATGGTTTTATATTTTGACTTTTTATTTTCTTTATTATTAAGAGCCAGCAATTATAATAGCCTAAAAAAAATTTGTATATACAATTATTATCTATTTTTCTAATTAGTATTGGGAGCCAGAAATGTTTCGTAATTTCTGATATTTTGTCATTTTGTAATAATTTCAGGTGGTGTTGTTATATTATTTTAAAAGAGCCATCATAATAGTGATTTTGTTTCTCCATTGCCTATATTTTGTCCTTTTTTTTCATTATTGACATTTCTAAGCGTAATTTTGTCCCTCATTGAGGAAAATATCCAGAGAAAGAAAGACCCTTTCCCGTGTGTTGTCATGATGCCTCGAGCTCCCGGCCGACAGGGGGCGACAGCGCTCTTTACACCATCACACATGTGCTTTATTTCAGAGCTGAGTTCTTAAAGCTATTTTATTTATAGCTGAATAAATAATAAAGCTCTTAAATTATATGTTTAACAATGTTGCTATCATATATGACGTTTATGCATTTCATTGTTATTGATTTGATCACTTAAAACTCTGTCCTGGTTGAATGCAGGATAGAGCAGGGATAATTGCAACTCTTTTACTCATTAAAAATGGTTAAAGTCAATAATAGTCTAAACTTTTATCCCTTAAAACTCATCTTTGATCATTAAAATGACATATTTAAATGTTTTTTCCTTAAAATATCTTGGATGTAACTACACCCATGACTCATTTAGTATACACTGTTCTCTGAATATGCAAATGAGCCCCGCCTCCACTCACTCACAGCAGCTCAGAGATCCACTTGTTGACGATCACATGTTTAATCTGATTGGTTACAAGGTAGTTTGTGACGTCAGAAACAGCCAATATTATCTGTCTTTGGTTCACTGCAGTTTTAAGGAGAAAATGCTCAGCAATGGTGCCGACTTGTGAATTTGCACATGGTTTGTCTTAAAGCACATTAAAAACACCACATAGACATATAAACAACATTAAAAGCTGGATTTTCACCACAGGGGGACTTTAAGGAATAAATGAATTGTAGTAGATCAGTGATATTCTGCCTCATTAAATTCCTCTTAAATGGATACTTCGCCCAAACATGAAAATCCCGTCATCATTTACTCATCCTAATGTTGTTCCAAACCTGTATGAGTTTCTTTCTTCTGTTGAACACAAAAGAAGATATTTTGAAGAATGTTTGTAACCAGACAGATGACGGACCCCATTGACTTCCATAGTATTTGTTTCCGACTATAGAAGTCAAAGGTTACCGACATTCTTCAAAATATCTTCTTTTGTGTTCAACAGAAGATAGAAACTCATACAGGTTTGGAACAATTTGAGGGTGAGTAAGTAATGACAACATTTTCCCTCTAAGATCGATAATACAGAAACACAAAGTTCTTCACGGTCATAGTATCAGGTAAAAAAATGCCTTTTCTAAGCAGCAAAATATAAGATTCATTGAAATTCATTGGTCAAAAAGTGTGAAAACCCTGAGAAACATTACAAAACAGCAGTTGTCCATGTCAGTGTGCACTGTAGGTCTAAACTGTAATTCTGTTTTTCATCATTGTGTAATTAATAACTACACATCACCCCTTCATTAAAGAGAAATGGTGCTGCTTTGAATAGGCTGTGTGACAGATGGTGGCATCACCGTCGCCGTGGCAACCGTTGGCATTAAGCACAGGATTCCATTTGAATAGAAGGAAGAGGCCGGGCAGCAAACGCGTGCGCCTTTTAAATTGGTCCCCGGGGACACGCAGGCGCGTGCTTCATGGGCTGGGTTTCATATGTCTGTCACATTAAGGAGGAGGAGAAAGAGATCTGGAGTCTGCATCGGCCGGGTCACACGTTCATTGATTTATGAGGACACTTGAGATTGTTGAAACCCACAATCAAACCTCACTGCTCATGACTTTATCTGAAATCTCTGAAATCTTTTCTGTTAATGCTTTAAAATAGAAAAGGGGCAGCTTCGTTTCCTGTTCAAACAGGTCCAGTATACTCTTAATAAATAATTAGTCAATGTTATCTCTAAATTGATTTTGCATCCAATGACAAACAGGATCATTATGAAGAACTGAATATTATATTTTAAACAGTTATGGTTTCAAGTTACATGTTTTAGGGTTGTTTTTAGGCCTGATTTGGTTGGGATATTTGTAAATAAATAAATCTGTTTGTCTATATTGTTTGAGGATCTGTTGTGTTTTGACTAACTTTAGTATTTACACTTACAATACACTTGAGTTATGGCAGATTATATGTAATGATGTTTAAAGGGGCTATAGGTAAAAATTTTCATGTATTAATCACTTCTTTATGGCCTATGTGTGAACAGCTTCTAACGAAACTTTAAAAACGAGACCTTCCCCGACTTCCGTTGTCTATGAAAGCTTGACGACTGATTTGTATGTGAAGGACTCGGGACGTTTTCGCCGTGAGACGTTTTCTCACACTCCCGAGAGCCTCTCTTCTGTTCTGTGACACATGAAACAAATGCTTGTACAATGTTCAGGATAATAATGCCGAAAGAGCCAATCTGTGCTGTATTGTCAATGTGTCATGCAAAGAAAAGGGATTCATTCAAACTATAGTCTCACATAGCTAGATCAATATTAGTATATAGCATGGGTCCTAAAAAGTTAAACCAAAGCGATTGGTGGCTGGCTGCAGTATAGGTCATAAATCCCGCCCTCTCCATGTAATCGAATGGGACACGAGCCAAACTAAAAAATCCAATTACACATCAAATAATTTTTTTCCCAAAAGATTGTTTCTGTAATTTTAGGTAGTTCTTATCACACAGATGTATGTTCAAGTGTTAATTTCCAATAGGTTTGGTTTTAGTTATGTGATGCTATAAAAACGAGGTGTAACGTTATGATTGACAGCTGTGCTTGACTGAGTCTGCGGGACCTTGATAGTCTCGCGTAGCCAGACCTTCAGACTGACGGCTGAAGGTCTGGAATTCATAGCAGCTTTCTTTGGCCAAGGCCCGCCCATAAGGCCGTTTGACCGACATGTAAAACAACCAATTACAGTTCGTTTCGTTCAGCGTCACGTTTCGGGGCGTGGAAATGTCCCCACAACAACAGACCGGCGTGCAACAAGTCAGTCAGCATAGAAAATCAAAGAAGGAGAAGAAAACTTCAAGAGTCTATGCCGTGAACCTTGCATACTTTTGAGAATCCTACGTTTAGCTGATCTTGATAAATGCTCATTGTCACTCATGTAAACACAACAGTTTTTCTTCCGCAATCACACGTCTGCGCTTTGTTTCCCGGCGGACCGAAAATAAACGTGACACTCGCGCCCCCTGGAAATCTGATAAAATTCAACCAATCAGATGACGACTTCGACATTCCTGAAGTGTTTCCAGTTAAGTGTACCATATGCATCAGACGTTTAGCCAAGGTTCCGTGGGCGTGACGTCTGAGGCTGAGACTAGGACCTTGATACCGCGGCTCCACCACGGCACAGACTCGGCCTCCGAACGGCGTAATCGGCAACAACCGTTATTGGGATATTTTGGCTTCATTTTTCTACAGTGGAAAGAAGCAGAGCAGCGATGCGCTGTCCATCTTTTTATTACAGTCTGGTATATAGTCTCAAACATGCTTTATATTCAAACTATCATAACAGTGTAATTTTAAATACCTCATCCGTCGGCATGATGCTGGTGAATCGCAGAGCTGGTGTACACATCCACATCGCTATGATCAGATGCTTTCTTAACTGCTGTTTTCTCACCTCTTTTGTTCATTTTTGTTCCGTGTGTTTACTAGAGGAAAGCGTGCAGAGTGCAGACACATATTTACATATTCATCAGCAGCGTGGACGGCGTCGGGATGTTCATTAACAGTACATCGCTGTAAAGGTATTTCCAACTTCTTTTTACTTCAAAGCGAAGAACGAAAAAGAACTTCGCCATCAGCATATCAGGCCCTGAATCACGTTCAGTCTCTTGTACCTTACTTTAGGTGTGTTAAGGCTGATTTATACTTCTGCGTCGATCCTACGCCATAGTCATTCCTAAAGCTGCGTTCACACTACACGCGACCAAGCGACACGATACCATTCATTTTCAATGGTGAGCGGGCGATTTCCGGCGACCGTTGGCGACTGGATGGGGCATGTCTGGCGACGCGACAAAGTTGAGATCTGTTTAACTTTATGCAAATGCAGAGCGACTTTCGGGAGCGACAACCAATAGGAGTGAAGTCAGTGGAGCGCGTCACTCTTCAGTGCTGAGTCTGACCGAGGCAAGTTGAACGAGAAGGTCATTTTTAGCAATCAGAAACTGTCCTATTATTTATGATATATCTCCGTGTACATACAGTGGTATTCACCGTACTGACTCGGTGCCTGAATGGTTTCGGGAACCCAGATAGACCGGTATTTGCCCGTTTTCTGCAGTTAGCCGCGATGGCAAAGAGCACTCACTGTTTCTCATTCATCTTTAATATTATGCATTTTATGTACTGATTCCATTTATATTTAGACTTTTCCTTCCGAAATATTTGTTTGTAGCGGCAAGAAAACGTATTTGTTGTCAAACATAGAGTGTACATCCGTGAATGTCACTCGCAAACATTACTAGGCAACCAGTAGTGGGAACGCCCTCCAGCGCAGCCACTGGCGACCTGCAGCGACAAAGTCGCTTGTACTGTGAACGCAACTTAAAACTGAAACAACGCGTCAATTCTACGCGGACCACAAGCACTGTGATTGGTCTGCTAGAACCCCTCCCTCAGGGGTTACACGTGCTCCCTCTGCATGTGTAATTGCATGTCGACGCGGACAACGACTCAGGAGTATAAATGAAAACCGAGTGTAGCCTACGTCCAACGCAGAAGTATAAATCAGCCTTAAGAGTGCGAGCAATAAATGAAGTTTTATGTAACAAAGTTCTGGAGGAGCACGTTCAGGTAATAAACCAAATTAGCACAAGAGGAAGCCGGTATAAAAATAGCCTTCCCTCACCTCTGTCCCATGACAGTTTCACAGGATCCCTCCACCACCCCATCACCTCACTCTCG